TCATTTTCGAGACCTGTAATAAAATTACGATAGACTGATTTGTAACTTGTTTCAGCTGGCAAAAGTGTAAGCGATTGAGTAATGCGATTGACATTTCTACCAGGGTTTGGTAGTCCATGAATTTCCACATAGTTTTCGAGAAAATTCTTTACGGCAGTAGCGACGTTTATATCAATGGTTATTTTGGTTTTCCATCGCGGCACTCTTTTTACATTACCATGAACGTGTGGCATTATACCATTCGCCGCTAGATGATTTCTGACGTTCTCGAAGTGCGTGCGACCAATTCCTAACATATTGAGATACGTTTTCTGACAGAGGGGCGTATTGCGATCTCAATAATAAAAAGTTCTCTTATTAGTACGCGTTTTCTTTTTGAGACGTCGACTGGCAGTTATTTCTCCGCCATTCATTGCTTTCAGCTGGGCCATTAAAAATATATCTTGTTCGGATCTAGAGAGGGCTTGAAACGCCTCACGTAATTCGGAAAATTTTTCTCTCGAAATCTTTTGAGAGCAACCACAATCGCAACCTATCTCCAAGAAACGTATTGCCTTGTCATATTCGGTGGAACCGTTATTGATAGAATTTTTCATATACGGGTAATCCTATATATATATTTTTCTGATTTACAGTAGTTTTTTACCAATTTCTTTATGATATAGTAATAGGAGAAACATTTGTTTCGCATTATTTATATTCAATAACCATTACCCATTCTCAATATAATTGAAAACTAATTTCAGATTCCAAGCAGGGATTCTGCAATATGCAGTTTATTCACAAATTGTGTTATAATAACACAAACTAATAGCGATGCCTACTATTATGTCACAGACTAAAACACTAACAATACGATAAAAGCCCCTATTATTAAGCATTTCCCACTGATCTAAACCACTCATGATTCAGTGCATCGTCACAATTTTGTAATTCTTGATTTTTCAGAAGTCCCGCTATCTTCCTAGCTTCAGTTGGCAGCTCAAATCTCAGATCATCAAATAATTGTCCAACTAAATAAAGATCACAACTTTTGTCATACATGTTTGATGCACTGGGAGCCCAACTTTCCAACAAAAATAAAGGCTTTTTCTCACAGCGTCTAGCATGTTCATAATCTGCTAATAGCCAGCGATTGTCATATGTTAGGATACAGCTGGTACGTAGTCAACTGCAGGTGGAAGTGAAAGTATTGGGTCCCAAAAGACTTGTGCAATTGGGATAATGACTTGATATTGAGGGAGGTTTGGTGCATTACAGGTAGTAGGAGTTTGTTTTTTTCGAATAAGGGTTCCAAACTGCCACTAAAAGTATTTAAAAGTTGTTAGATTGTTTGACTATTAAAATATAAATTACAGACTTGCTTCATACCTCCTGGTACCCTGCTCCCTGTTGCCATAATCTAGCCGTCATAGATCTATGATATTGCCCAAGATCATTTTTTCTATTTCTTTTTTTGTGTAATTTAATTCCAAGTACATATCGTATGTAAATTTGATTCATCCACAGTTTGCACTTGTCATTCCATTCTTTAGTGGATTGTTTGTTGCCTACTTCACAAACTATTCGCGCATGTGGCCGACCCTATGTTGAAAATATTAACTTTAGAAAATCAAACGACAAATATGTTCATGCGTAAAAAATAAAAATACATTTCTGTTTCCTGGAGGAGGGCCTGGATATGGAATACGAGGCTGTTGGACATGACTTGCATTTGGATATACCGTAACATCCGATGCAATTAATTGGCCGTTTCCAGATGGGCTAAAATGGACTGAGAAAAGGTATTAATTTCGAAGGACAATTATGGATCAAAAAGTCAAATAAGTTACTTACATTCATCAATACCAACGACTATCGGAGGATTAATAATGACACCACCATTGGCAACCTTAAAATAGTCTTGCAACAATGAAGCAACTAAACCATGTTCGGATCCGCTCATGTCAATTATAAATACGTCGCCGTTATCTCTTCGTTGATATTTATATCCAGAAGACTCTCTACGTTCAAGGAATTTATTGTATTCTTTTATCGTTATATTTGAGCCGATTTTATATGGTAAACTGAAAATGTCATGTCGAAGCAGAAAATATGACAGAGGCCAATAAGAATATGCAATATACAAGTAAACACTAGCAGATATTGAAGTATTTTAAGTGTTTTACATTTGATGCTCACTTACCTGTCCTCTTTTAACGGCTGATCCGGAAAATGAGGGCTGTTTGGAAGTAGTTTGTTTAGAATTTTCTTCATTGCTGAAGTGGAGATTTTTGAAATCAACAAGTTAATTATCATGGGGACTGATATAGCATCTGTGTTTCGATCTGTGTTACGCAATCGATTTTTCAGGTACGGTCACACGATTACATCATGCACGGAGAGGTTCCACGACCTTCGATTTTATTCTGTGGTATAGTAGACCTAGAAAGAGACATACGCCTCTATTGTGGTGGAATAGAAAGGCAGGAAGATACTAGAAAATATCGTAAATTTTTAACAGATCGGGATAGGCTAATCGGAGAAGAGTTATTACGTCGCAGTATATTAAAGAGTGGTTTAAGTACTACATGGCTAGACGATCTGATGAAAGAATGGGAAGAAATCCATACTCAATTCGTACAAATTTTTAGCCAGACATAGTGAGATCCAGAGGTCTCTTACACATCTCGGATGATTATTTATTTAATACAGTAGGCAATTACGTATGTTACATGAACTTCTATGTCGATCCCACTCATGATAATTTCGATTACTTCGTTCTAACTGGCTTATTTTTACAATAATATGAAGCTTTTCAAAAATTCCATACTCTATATCATTTTCTATAGAATGAACTGACTTCCAAATATTATTGAGGTGCGTTTTGATTGAAAGCTTTCCACATCCATCACCTAAATCTACTTTAGTAATAATCAAAGATGTCCAAGAATTTGTCTCAACCTGTGACCAGTGCCAAAGGGAGAAGAAATCAGCGAAGGCACAAGACATCTACCCATTAGTAGCATCCAGACCTTTCCAGATTATTGGAATCGACCATGTAGGACCTCTACACAAGACAAAGAAGGGAAATGAGCATATGATAGTTGCTCAAGATTATTTCACTAAATGGCCAATCGCTCAGCCCACGCAAATGACGAATGCTGAAGAAGCAGTAGCTTTTGTGGAGAACCATATCATCACAATCTATGGGGTCCCAGAACAGATCATTACAGACAAGGGATCCACTTTCACAAGTGACTATTGGAAGCGAGCAATGAAGAAGTGGAGAATTAACCATACTCCCACTACAGCAGCAAACCCTCAAGCCAACGGCCAAGTGGAAAGATTCAATCAAACTCTAGTGAGGATGCTAAAGAAGAAATTAGGTGTCAAGAAGAACTGATGGGACGAATTACTTCAACTAGTACTGATGGATTATAGAGCAACAGTACAAGCAACAACAGAACATACTCCAGCCAGTTTACTCTTCAGATATTAATATCAGATGAGACTACCTATTGAAAGCAAATACCCCATTCCCCTCGATGAAATTGAAGAAGATCAACCAGACCATATGAAGCAACTTGAAGAACTACACCATGAACGCATCAAGACAGCAACACTTATTGAACAGAAGCAAAAGCGAGTTAAAGAAAAGATGGAAGCCAGCAAGGACTTAGCCAATCCTTATCAAGTCAGCAACCTAGTTTTGTTATATGCACCTGCGCACAAAAGGAAATTAGAGCAAGCCAATGAAGGACCATTTAGAATTAAAGAAGTAGGACCTAGGAGAACATATGTATTAGAAACAATGGGAGGAGTTGAGTATATGAAAGTATTGGGTAGAAGATTAGTTCCATACAAAGACCGAATGAAGGCTCGAGTGGAAATAGGAGAGGCAAGCCATCCTCTAGACTAAGAGACTTAATTACCTTAGCAATAACTTAGGAGTCTGAGACTAAAAGTTATTCTGACTGGTGAATTGCAGTCAGTAGAGTAGAAGAGTAGTATTAGATTGATGTTATCATGATTATCTTAGTATTTTAGCTCATATTTTAGCCAATAGTATAAATAGCGCATATATTAGCTGAGTCCAATAGGGATAGATTGGGCATCAGCAACCCTCTCTCACTGTTTTATTAATTTGTGTCCAGATCTAATTTTAGGCGAACTGTCGCACAAGTAGCAAACAAGTGCACAAGCAGCAAACAATTGCACAAGCAGCAAACAAGCGTACAAGCAGCAAACAAGTGCACAAGCAGCAAATCATCATACAAGTAGCAAATACTTGCACAAGCAGCAAATAGGGACACAAAAGTGCGCACAGGATGTCAGACTTTTGCCTAATCTAGAAAAGAAGGACAATCATCAGACTTTGACAGGAACACCACATGATGCTTAATTCAGGAAAAGAATTGGGGCAATCACAAAACAAACACCACTTGAAAAGCTAGTTAGGAAAAGAAGACATCCACATGATAACGGCAGATAGATGTGTTTGGAAGACAAGATCAAAGACAATTCACTAATATTGGGGAATAATTGGAGTGCCATCACTTGGTACAGATCCATTGGTTCAACACTTTCTGGAAAAGGTGAACTGATGGGGGATGAAGGCCTATGAAAATCTAAATTGACATGTACAATAACTCATACCTCATTTAGTATTAGTAATAGATGTTGCACACTTGTGTAGTGTCATGGATAAGCTCTAACGTCTATGTATTCCTCCGAGATTTCCGCTCAGTTACACGAATTCCAAGTTCTGCGGCAATCGATCGACAAGTCCTGCGGCACAGATTCTCCAATGCAGCCGATTTGATCTATATCGGGCCATTGTGTAAGGGCAGCCAAAATCGACCATATCGGGCTAACAGACGTTGATAAAATTAGAACATTATTAATTAGTGAAACATTTCCCAATATATCCACTTTTCGCTGCCCAAAATGTTAGACAGAAATTAGTTATTTAAGCGCGCCGTTTTCCCTCATC